ACTGTGCAACTGAACAACAACAACAACAACAACAAAAGGTTAGCACTTTCTCAAGCGCCTCATATAGCAGAATATATTTGTTGATTTGTGGAATGAAATATACAATGTAATTACTTCTTAATGGAAGTGTATTTTTGTTAGTCACTGTTATATATATATATATATGTTTGGATTAAAAAGAAGAAGAAGTAATCAGCATAAACACACATTCACATCTGGTTCCCGAGTGAATCTGGAAGAAAACTTCCAGTTATATAGGATCTTTGAAATGGTGCAATTTAAACCTACAATGTTCCTATAGATGCTCACAGCACCCAATTGTCTATTCATCTCCTGACAACAATTTTTCTTATTTAATATATTTAATATCACTATAGCAACCCTTTTATCTGCTTCCTTAATTTCCTAAGTGTCCTTAATTTTCTGAATTACATGAGTATCTTCAAATAACTACAGCAAATGGAGCAGGTATGTTTTTCATTTTGGTGAGACTTCACGATCCTGTTCTTGATTATTTCTAATTATTGAAAATTATTAATTGAGCGTTGGAGACACTTTGGAACATTATATCATTGTGTAGTGATGTGGCCCTTGCAGATATGCATTGGCCTCGGTACTACTGAATGGCAATGTTATTGCATTGTCCCTGTCATGTTTGGTGTAGTGGTTAGGAGCGCAGACTCTAATCTGGGAGAACTGGGTTTGATTCCCCACTCCCCACATGCAGCAGCTGGTGCGACCTTGGGTCAAGATAAATATGGACAAACACGACCCAATCAGAAAATAAGTATAAAGACAACAGTCGTGAGAGTCTGACCTTGGGTCAGTCATAAGTTCTCTCAGAGCTATTCTCTCACGAGCAGTTCTTGAAAGAGCTCTCTTGGCCCCACCTACCTCACAGGGTGTCTGTTGGTGGGAGGGGAAGGGAAAGGGATTGTAAACCACTCTGAGCCACTCTGTAAGCCACTCTAAATCCAATCTCCTCCTCCTCCTCCTTTCTCTTCTCCTTTCTCTACCTTCTACATGGCCTTGAATGAACTCCACATTAGGACTGAGATGGTGATGTCATGTGGCGACATGCCACCTATTTTATTTTTTTTGTGCAATCGCTGTACTGATATATGATAATACCTGAAAATGCCAGACCCACAAAGACCACCCTAATTGTAGCAGGGGATGTTTGTGATTGGTTAATTACCTTCCCGCCTCTGAGACTTAGAATTTATTGGATGAGCACCTTACCATAGAACCCTTGATTGGATTCTAGAATATGTTGTTGCTGGCTGTGTGCATGTTGATATATATATTCAAAATTTCAGGTTAATGATAACATAATCACAAATAAATAAATAAATAAAAAACAAACAAAAAAAGTGTTGATTTCAAGGTTTATAGCATACAAGTGAGAAAGCAAGAGCCAAAATATCCATTATGGATGGTGCCTACACAGTTTGCAGGTCACTGATAAAGCCCTATGGGGAAACTGAGGCAGGTACCAAAGACTCTTTGACCATGCAGTCAGTAGGGCAAGGAATGTGGTGGAATGTGCCTTTGGCCACCTCAAGGCTCACTGGCAATGCCTCACCAGGTGAATCCCAGTGTTTGAGGAGAACATCACCTATGCGGTTCCTGCATGTGTCATCCTGCAGAATATTCAGGAGGAGAAAGGATATGCTGTGTTGCTGGACCGCTGGGATCCAGAGTCCCTTCTTGTTCTGCAGGATGAGGAACAGTACTTCCACATCAACAACATAAAACAGAAGGGAAACATATGAGTGGTGTGATAAATGATTTCATGTTCAGGTGTCAAGCTGATCCCTGACCTCCACCTGGACTTCTTTGGTTCCGCCATTAGCCTTCAGCTAGGTTGTTAACTCACTGCTTTCCACTTGAAAATAAAGAATGAACATAATAAACCAAAACCATGGTGGTAATTAATTATCGTATGGCATTGTGTGTAGAATAGCCAGGAGATACGAAGATTGCCTGGCAGCCGCACGTTTTAGTTCTTAGCATTATGCTAGTGGTGAGCTAGACTTTGTTTTTAGGGGCTGAGAGAGCTCTGAAAGAACTGTGACTGACCCAAGGTCATCCAGCTGGCTTCCTGTGGAGGAGTGGGGAATCAAACCCGGTTCTCCAGATTAGAGTCTGCCGCTCTTAACCACTACACCAAACTGGCTCTGCCATGCTGGTAAGTACAGTTGGTAAGGTTACACTGTTATGCACTCCATGTGCATCAGTTTAAGGAAAAGAAAAATGAACTATTGCATTTCAAAAATGAGCAGACAACACATCTGAAGAAGGCATGAGGGCAAAGCAGTGTTGTATCAAGGGACTGAAAATGATGCCTAGTGGTAGGTGCTTGGAATCATCATCTTAAAAGAATTCTGAGTAGCTCACTGTAGAAGAATACCATAATAGGCTGTTGTTTCTCCTCCTCCTATTCTTCTTCGTCTTCTTCTTCCTCCTCCTCCTCCGATATAGAAGAATCTTACTGTGGCTAAAGCTGAAGATCAGAAGAACAGCCTATACGGGGCAGTTAAAAGGACTAGTAGCTAGCACAGCTAGACTAGGGACATCCCACAATTTCAGATTATGCCCTTCCTGTCTCCTGATTGGCTCTTTGCAGACTTCCTGGTCCAGCTGAGCCCTCCCCCTTCATTCCTGGCTGTCTCACAGCAGTTAGTCAGTTATTTAAGTGTCAGATATGAGACTCGAGGCAGCAGGTGAACAGTGATAACAGGTTTATTTGAACATGAAGTCAGAAGAACCAGAACGAGACAAACTATGGAGCAACAGGCTCCTTTTTAAACAGTCCGGGCTTGGCAAGCCATGCCCACATGTCAGCTAAGGTCCAATCAAATACAGTATATAAAGACCAATCACTTCGCTTCCCTCCAGAACTTTCTTTGTTCTGATAGGTCAGTTTACAATACCTTGTTAGACTCAAGCTCAATACATTTATTACATTACATTTCATACACAACATTAAGCCTTTCCCCCTCTCCTCTGTTTTATCAGAGTTTATTTCTTCTTTAATAAACCAGGTTATTTCCTTTAAATCATTGGTGCTCCACTCCTTTGCATATTTAAACTCTGCCAACACTCTGCAGTGGCCACTGTGGGTCTTAATAGGCAACCAAAACAATATTGTCAGCCTTTCATTTTGTCAGTCAGAGGTAGAGGGAGGGGGCAGGGCCCTTTCCAGACTTCTTTTGGGGCTAGGCCATGAAGCAACCATTGGCGGGCCTACCTGTTCATACTCAGGTCTCAAACTGCTGAACTACTGACAAAAATCAAACCTTGTGGTATCCCGTTATTATGAAACCAGTGCAATACTGAGTGTACAGGTCCAAAATTAGTCAGGAACACCAGAAGGGTGCCATGGGTCATGATACTGGAAGCCAGTGAGAGTTGCAGGATGAATACCATTGAAATACAAAACAAGGCCAGTGCAGACGGTGCACTCTCTTCTCAGAAGTATCATTTTAGTCTAAATCCTGGTGGTCAGAGCTATCCGCACTATGCAGTCAGCAAACTCACAACATCTGGATTAACTGACAGGTCAGTTTTGGCCTGGCTGGACAAGGATGGGGATTGCATCATAACAGCACTGGCATTGTTGGCAGAACCATAATATCCATACAACACAGCTGAGCCAAGGGGGAAAAACACAAGCCATTAGTCCATGGTACAAAGAAGTGAGGCTTAATCGAATTCCTCTTCTCATTAGCCCTGACCTGGACAGCCCAGGCAAGCCCAATCTCATCAGATCTTGGGAACCAAGCAGGGCCGACCCTGGCAAGTGCTTCGAAGGGAGAACTCCAAGGAATACCAGGGCCGGGATGCAGAGGCAAGCAATAGCAAGCCACCTCTCTGAAACATTCAAGCCCCACTAGAGGTTGCCAGAAGTCAACCCTGACTTCCAAGCACACACACACACACACACACACACACACACACACACACACACACACAAATACTCACCAAAAAAAACCCCACAAAAGAATTCCTCTTTTCAATTAGCCCCCTACCCCGATGTAGGTGAAATATTACAATATCAAAATGGTGTGTGTAAATTCAAATATTCCCACTGACTGTCCATTGAGAGCCCTGAGGACCAGAAGGGGGCCATGGGTCATGATACTGGAAGCCAGTGAGAGTTACAGGATGAATATAATTGAAATACAAAACAAAGCCAATGCAGACTGTCTGCTCTGTTCTCAGAAGTGTCATTTTAGTCTAAATCCTGGTGGTCAGCGCCATCTACATTATGCAGTCAGCAGTCTCACAACATCTGGATTAACTAACAGGTCAGTTTTGGCCTTGCTGGACAAGGATGGCATTGCAATTCAGTCAGGTTGTGCTGGGGGTATACAGAGATAAGCTGCACTCACAGTGCTGCATCATAACGGCACTGGCATCGTTGGCAGAACCATAATATCCATACAACACAACTGAGGCAAAGGGCAAAAATATAAGCCATTAGTTTGTGGTACAAAGAAATAAGGCTTAATCGAATTCCTCTTTTAATTAGCCGTGGCCTCGATAGCCCAGGCAAGCCCAATCTTGTCAGATCTCAGAAGCTAAGCAGGGCCCACCCTGGCAAGTACTTGGATGGCAGCCCTCCAAGGAATACCAGGTCTGGGATGCAGAGACAGACAATAGCAAGCCACATCTTTGAAACATCCAAACCCCCTAGAGGTTGCCAGAATCAGCCATGACTTCCAGGCACACACACATACATAGACACACACACTCACGCACAAACACACACACACTCACGCACAAAAAAAGAATTCCTCTTTTCATTTAGCCCCCTGCCCCGATGAAGGTGAAAAAGGGTGTGTGTAAATTCAGATATTCTCACTGACTGTCCATGGAGAGCCCTATATGATTACTCTTAACATCTCTGTTCCAACTTCTCTTATCTCTACAGGTTGACTTCACTAAATTGTCCAGCAACATCCATGACTGTCAACTTGATGACTTTCATTTGCTTATGAAATTATTTGTTGGAGAACTTTGTTGACATTCCCAATTAGTGACACATTGTATCTCCAGAGTGTTGTGTCCTTAATGAGTGATTCTCGAGGAAGATCTACTTGTTGAGGAACCCGGCAATGATAGATAAGAGCAACATCCATCGGGACCTCAATGCTATTCCCATACATCTGGAGAACAGAGTGGACGGACGTCTGAACCACTTTATTTGGATCAATGATAATTTTCCGAGGATTGAAGACGTTTTTCCTGTCAGGTTCCCGAACAACGTGACTCAGTATATTAACTCCAGGAACTGTGCTCCAAGAGGAGATGTTGAACATGTCAGTGGGTGTAAATACAGTTTTGGGGAAGATGTGATTCTCAAAGAGGAAAGCACCAGCATCTGGATGTTGCTGTTGAAGGTTCTGCATCATGGTTTTCCAGTCTGCATATTTCCCTGGCAGAATAATTTCATCCATGTCATTCAGCAACACATATCTGCTCCTGTACATGTTGCGATAGACGCAGTCATTTAAGGCCGTAATTTGTCCATAGTAGCCAATGTCCTTGGGATCCATTGAGTGATGCCAGTGAAAAGAGACCTTGAGGTAGGAATCAATGGGCCAGGGGATTACCTCGACAGTCCCTTCTGCAATGTAGTAATCCAGCACTTTCTCCATCAGTGGGCTGCAGCTGTTCTTGTAGATCACCACTCGGGCCACCCCGAGGATTTTATACATCTCCATGCTCTGCACAAACTGCAGGACGTTGTTGTACTCTCCAAACATGGTTGAGATGCAGACTGTGAAGTCAACAAGGGAACCTTCAGGATCACGGTTTCTTATTTCAAAAAGTGGTAGCTGGTCAATATCTCCTTTAGGAGACCAATGTATTGACACGTAATGTGGTTCCCAGTCTTGTGGTTCCAGACATTTCACGTCTGTGGCACCGTAAGGGAAGTCAAATCTATCAGAATGGACATCTATTTGAGCCTTGGAGATGTATATTTCACCATTGGATGAGTGGCAGAACCAGCAGTAAAGTTCCTTGACGTCTTTGTGGTGGACTATAGAAATCACTCGTGTCATATTGTTCTTTCTGTTGTCAAAGTATGGAGCAATGATAAAGGTTCTATTATCTTTTAAGGGTGTCATGGTGTTCGTGGCGGGAATCCCTCGGCAGAGGTTCTTCTTCACTCTAAGCGTGAAAGAGAATTTTCTATTCAGGAGGTAGGAATAGGTCATTATTGACATGAAGGTGGCAATGTAAACGATGGCAATCACATTTGGTTTTGTCCAAGAACAAGTCATTTCGGGCTTCTTTATAGGTGGTCAGTGAAAGGAGATCAGAGAGCTGCTCTGTAGATAGATGGAAAAACACAACACAGAGTCAGGGAAGAAACATTGGAGCTTATTCTTAACCCCAAGATATGCTTGGAGTACAGCTTTAGAGGAACAAATGGGGGGGGGGACATGACTTGAATATGGATTTCAGAAAAGATTGTATTGGATAATTAAGGAAGGGATGTGATATATAAAGGGGACAAAGGGAAGTGATATATAGTGTGTAAGGAAAGGGGACAGAGAATGAAATAGTATTGTGGGATGCTAATGGGGAAATGGGGAACTGCCAACCTAGCCGTTCGAAAGCAAGAAATTGCAAGTAGATAAATAGGTACCACTTCGGTGGGAAGGTAACAGCGTTCCGTGCGCCTTGGTGATTAGTCATGCCGGCCACATGACCACGGAAACGTCTTCGGACAGCGCTGGCTCTTCGGCTTTGAAACGGAGATGAGCGCCACAACCCTAGAGTTGGACTCGACTGGCATTCGAGCAAGGGAACCTTTACCTTTTAATGGGGAAAAGGCCACATCACAGCACTCCAACTGGCATCACGTCAATATACATAGAGAGAGTCATAGCCCCACAAAAGTCTGGTGGGATTGCCAGTATTTTTGATGTCTCCTGCTTTTGTGATTTTAACAGCACAAACATTACCAGATGAAAAGGTTTATGTCTATGCTATGGAAATCTTTGGCTGCTGATCTCTGCAGACAAGGCCAGTATTCAAAGCTCAGGAGTAGTAAACTCGGTTTCTTTTTCTGGTAGATTGGCAAGTTTATCTGCTCTTCAGGGTGATATAATTTTGGAAGCATTTGTAATATTCAGCACCTGCCCTGTGTAAGACTCAAGGGCAGCAAACGGCTTGAGCTTTCTTAACACTGTAGCTGTTCCACTATAAGAATGCCGCACTGAATAACGCCCCCAAAGAGCTTGTCATTCTAAGCTTTTTTCTCCAAGTGATAGGTATCTGCTGTTTCTGCACAATGTTGAGGTTTGCATATAAAACAACCTTTCTTTTTTTACTATAGTGTTGATCATTCCAACTAAAATGCTGATTTCCTGCTGTTGTCTGGCCAGTATATACTTGGGCTTCTTAGAACATTGCAGCTTTCAGCTCGTGCTCTAACACAAGATCTGTTTTATTCTTTAACTAAATTGTTCTTTAACTAAAATCTAAATATGTACCAAACAGTTCAAGTGTAGGTGACAAGTTATGCATAAGGCATTTCACATTCTCAGGACAATTTTTGTTGTTGTTCAGTTGCACTATAAGCTTAAATTTTATATGGAAGGAAGTATTGCATATACGTCAATGTTTTCTTAAATGTCAAAGTATTTGAACAGAAAAACCACTGCTATTTTCTATATACCGCTTCAGATTTTCCAGAAATTTGCCTCTGTACTTTGGAGTGCTTTTTCATTCTCCATAGCCAGTTCTCACCATCCTGAGATGAAGGACAAAAACTGAATAAGAAGAGGAGCTGAACTCACAGCACTTCTGACTTGATCACAGTGACTTTTAAAACCCTAGAGAAGTAACTTTATATTTATTTTATTTTATTTCTCCACACAGTTGTACATTACATGCAAGGCTTTATAGCACAGAAACTTATACCCGAGCTATTTGCAGTACTGAATAAATGTTGCACTAAACTCTCTTCATCTATACATATGTCAGTGCTGTCAAGTTACAGCTGACTTATGGCGATCCCTGCAAGGGGCTTTCAAGGCGAATGAGAAGCAGACGTGGTTTGCTATTGGCTTCCTCTGTAGAGTTTTCCTTGGTGGTCTCCCATCCAAGTATCAATCCTGCTTAGCTTCTGAGATATTACGAGACTGGGATATACCATGACACCTTTCCTCCCTCTTCATCTATAACACCCCTAAAATAAAATTTTAGGAGAGCTTAGTTTAAATTGTACGGGTCTTTAAAGAAATATAACATTATCAGATTTGGAGATGTGATTCACAAATTTCAGATAAAAAACACTCTCTCCATATATATATATCCTAAAAGATATATATCCTAAAATTAATTTTGAAGAGCCCCTAGTTTAAACTGACTGTGGGGTTGACACTCTCAAACATAAGGAAAAGTATAACATTACCAAACTTGTATGTGAGATTCACAACAGTACTGTATTTATCATGGAGATTTTGGCATTTTTAAATTAGGCATTTGGTCTTTTCATTTCTGGGACTGCAAGAGGAACATGCAAAAGTCACCTGCTTGTGTGTATTTGATGTTGCATGTTTCAAGAAGGAGAGGGGCTTTCTCTTCTGCCCAGTCAATGGTCGCGATCACGCGCACAATTAGCCATGCCATAGGCGCAAATGCTGGGTGGATTTAAAAGGCGTGATCAGACGCAAACATCTGGGAAGCACCCCGCAACCATCAGCAACCTGTTTTGCTCTGCCGCAGAAGTGGAGTAAAAAGACACTAGGGAAAGTCCGATAGCAAATGGGTTGCTATGGGCCACGGATGGACTTTCCCCTGTGTGATCGCTCCAGCGTGCTCCCATATCATCGGGATGGTCTGATCAGGCCATCCCAACTCTGTGCCATTGTCCCCCCCCCCCGTCTCAGTATGTGCATCATCGCACACTGCATAGGGAGCGATGCAAATTATCGATCCCTCATTGAAGGACAATGGAAACCCACGGCAAACCCCCCCCCCCCCCGATTCACTCACGGTTGCATCTGATCACGCAGTGGTGGGCTGCCCCCACAGCTTCCAAGGACTGTGTGATCGCGCAACAGTGGGTCGAATTCCTATGGAGTAAATAGTCTAATCCCCCCCCCGCGTTATCTCACCCGTGTGAACACCACCAATATGTCTAAATGATGACAACAGAATACAGCTATGAAAGTCAATGGGAAAAAGATCTCGATTTTGCTTCCTCAGATAGGATCTGGAAACAAAATACACGGTGCAGTTAAGGCTTCCTCACTCTGTAAATAAGACTGTGTATAAGGTTCTCTGTAAATGGTACCATGCTTCAGAAAAGTTAATCATGGCCCCAGTCACACGGGAGGTTTTGGCCCGGAAGAAGGACGGATCGGGGGCACAGCAAATGGGCGCAATCACACCGCAACATCTGGGAAGCGGCGCGCACCCATCCCCAATCCGTCCCTTCAGGCTAAAAACATGCAGTAAAAAACCCCCAAGGAAATGGTAGGACCAACCTGAAATGCCACAGCAAGCGTGGCCGTGGGATCACCGGCACACCCGTCTTCAGGAGCGTTCGAGGCTCCCAGCTGAACTGCACATGCACACACATGCACAGCCGGCTGCCTTGGTCTCCCTTCCGTGGCTCCCCCTCCCGGCATCTGATCGTGCCGGGGAGCAACTGCGCGGCGGCTCAGGGGATCTGTCTGATCCCGCCGCCACGTTCTCTTTTGGTGCGGCTCTAAAAAGCCGCACTTTGGCCAAGTCAATTTCCCCCATGTAACCGGGGCCCATGATGTTCAATACAATCCATTTCAATTAGCTGCTCTTTGTGCATTCTTATTCATTGAATTATTTAAAACATTTATTAGCTGCCTTTCTCCCTTGTGGAAATCAAGGTGGCTTATAGTATAAATAAAATCGTATTAGAGCACACAGCCGCAATAAAAATAAGAATTATAGAAACCCACTGACCATCCACAATTTTAAAATTCCAATTAGGACTGCCAATAAAACCAAAATCAGCCAAATGCAGTCCTAAATTTAAACAAAACTGCCTTCTCCTGCCTCCTGAAGATTGACAACAAGGGGGCCAGTCCGCTTACAACACTGGTGGAGTTGACATTGTATGCAACATTATCGTGCTCAAGTTGCATTCATGGTTTCTAACATTCACAAATATAACTCTTGGGCCTAATCCATTGCTTCTTTACTGTACTTTGCTCAAATTAAATGTCAGTTTTCTGTACAACTGGCAATCTTATTCCTTTTAGTTGCTGCTGAAATCATGACTCTGGAAACAAAAACAAAAAAATTACAACCCCTGTAATTCATGAATGGCTTCTCTATGTTTCAGACCTAGCAGAAATAGGCAATCTTGTGGACAAGATTCTTTTTGGAATGAGATATTTCATTCTTCCACTCAGGTCGGTAGGAAGCGGGTCCCATTTACTGGTTACTGGAATCATCAACTAGGATCCAAAGGAACGTCTTCTTCTTGTCCTCTAAGAACGTGTACTTTGTTGCTATATTGCATTATATTACAACTAAGTTTTATACAACAGTTTTGTTAAAAACACACACACACTACGTTCGCACGGTTGTTCATCATACTGAAAGCTTTTCAGACATTTCTAGAACTACAGATTTGATATATGCTTCATACTAACCTGATGATGAGGCTCCACTGGCTTCTTTTAGCAGTTATCCTTCCAGTGTACATTCAGGGGAAAAAGAAGCAATAAAAATAACGAATGTTAGACGTGTATAAAGACAATAGATCTGTTAGTCTTCAAGTGGTACCATGACATTCTTTGTTTCCATAGAGTGAACCCCTCTGGAATGAAGGGTAGACAACCTTCTAATAGCCAAAAAGTTATCACTTTACATTTAAGCTTCTTCTTCTTCTTGCCGTTAAGTCACAGCCGATGTATGGGGACCCCATAGGGTTTTCAAAGCAAGATACATTCAGAGATGGTTTGCCATTGCCTGCTTCTGCATAGCAATCCTTGTGTTCTTTGTTGGTCTCCTATCCAAATACTAACCAGGGCTGACCCTGTTTAGACTTCCAAAATCTAATGAGATCAGGCTAGTCTGGGCTATCTGCCTGAAGGCGTATTTAAGCTACTGGCAATTATATTGGTTGAATTCATCACAACTCACCTTGTCTGCAGAAACCAAGCCTCCTATTTTATAGCAGGAAACAGCAAAGCCTTGAGCCTCCACTGCAGAGAACAAGTGTTGTGGGATTTTTTTTTGGCATAATGGCCTACTGCAAATAAGCGCTTACAAGGTGACA